GGGGTCTGCCCAGACCCCCGCCCCTACGCGCAGCCCGCAGCGGCGCACTCCCAAGGAGGGCCGCCCGGCCCGAGCGCGGCCTGAGCGCGAGCGGGAAGTGGGCGCAGCGGAGGCCGACCCATCTTCTCAGGCCTCAGGCCGCCGCCTGCACTCCGCCAGGCCTCCCGACCGCCTGCCCGTCGGCCGCTCTGCTCGGACCCTGGCCCGGCCGGGCCTCGGCGGCGCCGCAGTCCCTCATCCCGGCTCCATTCATAGGGGCACCCCCGCCCGGCCGGCGGGAGGGGCCGAGGACCTGCGGACAAGGCCGGCCTGCCGAGGCCAGGGAGGAAAATAAAAAGTTAAGAGAAGAACTTACCTAAAATGGCTCCTGCAGCAGCCAAAATACAAACAGCTATTATTTGGTGAAGTTTAGCTCAGACACCCTGCAAGGACACCCTAACACAGCTCGGGCCCGCCTTCCCTGCCACGCCATTGGTCTTCGTCGACCCAAAACACAGAGTTGTAGGTCAGCCTGGCTGTCGCTCACGCAGAAGCCCATTTCAAGCTTGCTTGCAGGGGCGAGTGATGGGCTCGCTCCATTGTGCTCGTATTTGCATGGATGTGATCGCGGCGGTGATTGGTCGGCGCCGGGACCGCCCCGCCTCTTGCCCCGCGCCCCCCGCCTTGGAGTCGCCGCTGCGCGCGGCCCCGCCCCCCGGGATGGAGCGGCGAGGCCACGGGGGCGGGGCGGGGCCGGGGTCCCGCGGGCCGAGGAGGCGGGGCGGGGTCGGGCACACCGCAGACAGGGGGCGGAGACCTGGAGCACACGCGGGCGGGGGCGGGGGGTTAGCCCGCAGGTGAGGGTCTCGCAGGTAGCGGCTAGCGATCTGGAAGACTCGGAGCTGGCGTCGCGGGGTGTGGGAAAGGACGTGGCTGGGGTCCCTCGACAGAGAGGTCCTGCTGAGGCCAGCATCCCGCAGACAGATGCGCCGAGGGGTGAGGGTTTCGCAGGTCAGGAAAAGAAGATGCTGAGAGGACAGGCGAATGAGAGGAGCCCCAACCTCTGTCTCCAGCCGTATCTCCGGCCGCTCCAACTGGCTCGCTGGCACTCCAGGCACACAGCGGGCTTCTTCCCAAGGCCCCGCACACCCAGGAGTTTTCCAGCCCCGGAGATCCAGCAGCGCTTTGGATATACCTTCGTAAAATCAGGAGTCGAGCTACGGAGTATTTATTTTCGGGCCTGTCTCCGCCAGTCTCCTTGTAGCGTCCTCAAGGACAGAGCCCAACATACGGCAGAGATTCAGCAATTGTTATAGTCTTAATTTGTTTGTTAACAAATTGTTTTTGAGTGCCTACTAAGTGCCAAAGATTGATCTAAGACCAGGATACAGCCGTCGCTAGGACAAAGCCCTGGAATAAGGGGAAGAACGACAACAAATATATGCAAAGGGCAGGTGGTGATAATGCTATAAAGAAAATAGATGGAATAAGGAAGGAAATTAGACCAGAGATGGAGAGGAGCAATTTGGGAAGGCGGGGAGGGAAGGGAAGCTTCTTACCCTGCCTGACTGAATTGTCTGTATGTCATCCCATTACTGCATCCCGCACACACACCTTAGCAGGCACCAGCACCCTCACCCCCTGCCTTCTCCCATTATGGGTGTTTCCTCAGGACCTACCAAAAACTGGTTGGATTCTGACTGTGGAAGCTCATTTTACCTCAATTAAACCGGGAACGATCTGAGTCCTGATGATTCAAAGGGCAGTTTGCCGAATACATTTAAGATGAACATGGTTTGACTTTGTGAGGGATAGCTATAATAGTGTAGCAGAGATGAGCCTTACTGCACCCCCAGAGAGAGGATATTTTTAGTTTCTCTAAAACCCCAGTTTTCCTCTGGTTTTTAGCCTGTGTCCCTAACTCTCTTCTGAGTACCACCCCTTCACTTCTTGGCAGACAGAAGAGATTTCTCCAGTTGGAAAATGGATAGCAGCCCCTGCCACCCATCTACCTTACCTGTGCACATGTCTTTCATTTGATTTAAGACCAGCCAAGATGCCTCATGTTCCTTCCTCCCTCCTCTCCCTTCCTTCCTTAAATAGTTATTAAGCACCAACTAGGTTCCCTGTATTGTTCTAGACATAGGGGATACAGCATTAAATAAGGCAGACAGCATCCTTGTCCTCAGGGAGCTCAGTCATGTTGAGGACAGGCTAGAGGATCTCCGTCCTACCAAGCTGCTGGTGATTGACTATACAGAGAGTCACCTGTCCTCCTGCTGCTGTCCCACAGGGACAGTGAACTGACCCTCCTAAACCAGTTACTGTAGGAGTTGGGGCAGAACCTAAGCTGGAACCAGTCAACAGGACCAGTCACCACAATCCCTCACAGCCCAAACACCAGGATCTGGCTGGAGCCAAGGAGTCGAGCCCTCAACAACAGTGCTAATGTGGCTCAGGTCTAAGCACTAGTGTCTGGAAGGAGGCTGGGAGCAGAGGTACACATCAGAGACAGACTTGGTGGGCCCTACATAGGAGTCAAGTGGCCCTCCCTTTGCACAATACAAGAATGAAATAACATAACTGAGATCGGGGGATGGGACTCCAGACAGAGGGAGCAGTATGTATATACCAAGCATCAGAAGGTGCAGGGGATGTGTGTGGGGGAGACAGAGACTCATCTGTAATTTCTGTTCTTAAACATTGAGAAAAGCCAATAGCACATACGAAGTTAAATACACCTAGAGACAGAAATGTTACATCACCAAACAAGAAATCAATAGGAATACATGATTAATTCACAAATGAGTGGTACAGGTACAAGCAAAGAAAAGGTCCGGAGGCTGTGCTGAGGACAGGCAGCAGGCTTGACCTTCAGAGAGAGTCATGTCTGCAAAACCGAGAGGGGTTAGTAGAATTTGACCCTTAAAACACTTCAGCTGTGTCCAGGGACCTGTGGGTAGGTACTGAAAGGCAAACAGAAACAGCTAAGTGGCTTTTAGCTGAAACCATGAGGTTGTTCATGGGGATATCTTAGTCTGGGTTCCCCAGAATGTACAGTCTGATTCCATAGGACTGGAGTGAAAAGGAGTGAGGAAGGGAAGAAGGAAGAGCAAATAGCAGGATGATTATTAATCTGACCTCCACTAAATTTGGCTAATTGCTCCTGCTTAAGAGATCAACCTCTGAGAAGCCATATAGAATGAGTTTTAGTATAGTCTATGGGAGAAGGAATGGAAAGAAATGTATCCGCCGGTTCATCTCCCATTGGATAAAGATTTACCTGCATCATTCGTTGTTCATGCATAGGTGCTAAGAGGGGTTCTGCAGTGTCGCCAAGCTCAGGGTCAACAAGGAATCTGGCAAGAGGCACACAGCAGGGCCATGAGGCAAAGCACTGTCAGGATGCAGCTATGTGAAGTCAAATGGAGCCCATGCAGAGCTGGACGCCGCAGGAATTTCTGGAACAAGAGATAGCTGACACCAAGCAGCTCTGAAGGTCTGCCTTGGAGGTGACACCAGAGATTCACAACTTTCTGTATCATATAGTATATCCATGTTTACAAAAGTCCCCAGAAGAGCAATCCTTAGGAGCTCTGAAGGGGAGCCACAGAAGGGCTTCTAACAGTTCTAGAACTTTCTGAGAGTAACTCCATAAACATGAGTTGTACCACCTGACCACTTCTGTCTAGCCTCCTTGCATCTCCTCACTTGTCTGTCTCCTCCATTAGAAACTGTGAGCTGCTTTATTGTTCTTGTTTATGTATCTATGGGAAAGAAAATTCCATGTTCAGCAACCCATTTAATTTCCTTGCTAGGCTCATAGCAAAACTACATTTCTAATTAATCAGGTAGGCCCATGTAACTGAGCTGTGGACAATGGAATTTGGACAGAAGTGATATATTCCACTTCTGGGCATCCCCTGAAACTTCCCATGTGATCCTCCACAGTCTCCTCCTTTCCTCCTCTGCTGACTAGATGCAAAAAATAGCCAGTGGAGGACTCAGAGGCCCCAGAAGATGCCGATGGCATGAGCCTGGGTCCTCAACTGACTGCATGGAGAAGAGCACTGGACTGTTCTGAGGGGCAGAAATAAACTGCTAGTGTATTAAGTCACTGAAACGTGAAGGTTGGTTGTTACAGCTGTTAGCATACCCTGACTAATACAGTACTTGTCTAACTTCCTTTGGTCCTACATCCCTCCAGGGCAGGGATCGTGTTTATTTGGTTTTGTAAACCAGCAAGCACTAGCTCAATGACTGGCACATAGTAGGCATTGCTGAAAGTGTGAATGGGGGTGAAAGTGTTGATAACTGAGCCTGGTCTTAAACGATCAGAGGTAGGAAGCCAGGGAAAGTGGCAGGTTGAGAGTGTTCCAGCTAGGAAACATGACATGTGCAGAGGCAGAGAGGCCAGGGAGAATATGGTCAGTTCTCAGCGCTGGAAATAGTCCACAGTGGGGAACTGTGAATGTGAGAAGAAGATGGCTAGGGTGAGGCTAGAGAGACAGCAAGGGCAAAGTCACAAAAGGCCTTGTATGTTCCATGAAGGAGCTTGAACTTGATCCTGCAGGAATCATTCAAAGATTTTAAACAGGGCTGTGATACCATCAGGTTTATGTTTAAGAAACATCTCTGTGGCAGCATAGGAGAAGGATGGATTTGAAAGGAAGAGGCAAAACACAGATTTTTTAAAAAAGCAACATTTCCCAGAGTATGTTTGCCCTAAATCATTCATGTAAGTGTACAGTTTGATGATTATTTAGTGAAGATATACTTCACTAAAAAAAGGTTGGAAGTCAGATTGGTTTGGGAAGTTGTGCATACTCTACCCCTTCTTAGAAGTTCTCATTGCCCATTAGCATGTTAAAAACCCTGAGAAGACCTGCATTAATTAATCTGTTAAACTTTAACGTGGTACTTTTCAACATTATTTGACCGTAGAACCCTCTTTTCATTTAATACCTATTAAAATTGGTATCACTTAGGATTAGATTTGGCTACATATAACAGAAAAAAATAAGACGGGCATAATAAGATTGACGTTTATTTTTGTCTTGTGTAAAAGAAATCTGGGGAGCAGGCAGTCCAAGACTAGGATGGCAGCTCTAGGGTGTCATTAGGTATCCAGGCTTCAATATTTTGCCTCCACCATACTTAGCTTTCATTCCCAAGGTCACTGAGCACTTGCCTACATGTTCTTGGAAGGGAAAAGAAAAGGCAAAACCACAAAAATGGAGCTGAGTCAGCTTCCCTTATTCAGGCTTCCTGGAAATACTATGCATCATTTCTTCTTACATCTCATTGGCCAGAACTTGGTCACATGGCTACCACATGCTGCAGAGGAGGCTGGGAAATATGATATTTCATTTTGCGTGGCTATGTGCCAAGTTAAAAATTGGAGTTCTGTCACTAAGGAGTTAGGAGTCTCAAGCAGCAGTCTCTGGCATAATGTCCTATAGAAATAATGTTGCACAGAGCATAAGTTTCTCAACTTAAAATACCAAGGAGACTGATTTTTAAACATTTC